ATTCCAATCTTCATTTCGCTTTTTTATCCAAACGGGCAACCAAACCCGGCGCACGAAAGTGCATGGTTAATGGTTGTAAAAACTGAAACTGAAAATGATACACTCCATTAATCATATTGTTTGAATCTATCCATTGGAAATTTATATATATGAAACGAGGGATCATATGGTATAGCTAGGGATAATGAAGTAAAACAATTTATAAATAGAAATGAAATCAAGGTTTCTGGGTTGCTTTGACTCAAATATGTTTTATCATTCATGTATGTTAGTTCTTCGTTAGGCATTTGGAATCTGTGCTATTTCAACGTCGGACAATCTTGAACCTTTTTATGATCCAAACCAGGAGTTTTGGTGCTTTGCCTTACTTGCCTTGAAAAGAGGATACGGAATGAAGTGATATGTGTACGAAATCCGATCGGCATATCTTATGCAGAGTAGATGTGATCAGCAATTGACCGCGTGTTCCTCTGCTCCTTCGGATTCTATGGTGATTTATTGTGCATTTTACCTTCCTATCCATAGTTGGTCATCGGGACTCTCGTTTTCCCGATTGTCAGTGATGGATACCCTTGTCGCAACTTTGCTAACTACTGTTTAGACTGTGTTTAATCCCATTTTGGTCCTTTTCCCCAGGTTAATCTTTTGCTGCCCTCTGTTCTGTTGTCCCGTTTCTCGTTCTTTTTTCTTGTTGTTTCGAGTGGAAAAGGGTCAGTTTCGAGGTAAGGGACGTGGTGTGGCAATCCGCGTTCGGTTTTGTACTGTTCGAGTGCATCACATAAGCCTATGTGCGGTCATGCACTTTAAAACCTCCGAAGAGCTTTGCCCAATTATTGAGCGTAGTCCTCTTTTCCCCGATCCGCGGTTGAATCGGTCGGATTACGTTTGCGGTTCTTCGGTAGCATCGTTTTTGCGGAGGATAGTTTGTGGGACTCTGTTTGTTGCACAAATGCGCTACTTACACCAATGGAAGCCGATCACGTCCGGATCAAAGTTGTTAGACCGTTGTCACATCTTTTTAGCTCACTTTGATAGCAAATACCGTGGTACTCATGCGCAATAGCAACGACTACCTAGATTTAAGATGACTGATGTCCGGAATCAGACAATTGAGTGTTCCAGCTGATCAATGATGTCACAATCTCACTTATTTCGATTTTATTTTGAGATCGGGTGGTTGATGAACACGGGTGGCGTCTTAAGAATCAATAGTATACAAGCGTTGACAGGGTTTAAAACCAGATTGTGAGAGTTTATATGTCAAGGTCAGTCAGCAATCAATAGTGACATACTAATGGGATTTTATCTGTATCATCGGTTTGCTGACAAACAGGACAAAGACATGCAGTCTTATTTCAATGGTAGTTTAAATCGACAAGTTGACAGTATGGCGATGGGAAGCTCACTAAGACCAGTGTCAGTTGATATATTGATGTTATATCTAGAAGAAACAAAACTCCGTCAATCAACACAAGAGATTTTTTCTCTAAGCGTTATGTTGGTGACAATTTTTTGTCGCAGACAAGGATCGTGCGCAAGCTATGCTACAAACTTAGAACTTTTGTCATCCTAACATCAAATTTACCGTAGAACATGATTCTTAGACATCCTTTAAATTCGTGAATGCTAGACTCATCAGCAGTAAACATGGATATCTCATCCGGTCTACATTCGACAAACCAACTCGGACAGACAGTGTGTGAACTTCAGAAGCTCCAGGCCAATGCAATAGAAGCGAGCCCTAGTGAAGGGCTTGATTTCTAGGGCGAGGAGAATTTGTTCCGCAAAATAAAACCTGAAAGTGATCTTCAATTGATATCCTGTGCGTTGCAGGAAAATGGATATCCCTGAAATTTGATTGCCAAGTATTCTAATGGCACAGAGACTAGATCGAGGAGAAACGATGTACCAAAGGAAAACATTCTCATCACATTACCAGAATGAGAAACTATCACAACGCCATTTGAGACAAGCTCTCTCAAGAACGTACAACGCCAATTCGTTGATTATTCTTCATAAAAACAAACAGATGATTACTGAACCCAACTTGGACAAGCTGAACTCTCAAGTTACCTTCTCGTGTCTTTACCTATTTCAATGACCTGGCGGTAGTTAGTATGTTGGAATGACTGAGAGACTGAAAGGACAGAGCCCGGGGAATTCAGCGTTCAAAGGCTCGGAGATTCCCTCCAGCTCTGTTGTTCGCCATATACTGCAATGCAAAATTTGCATCGATCCAAAGTATGCTTTCTGAGTGTTAAACCAACAGAAAACTAGGCGGTTGTTACGGTTTACTAAGACCGTAGACGTCACGAACCAGACCTTTGTAAATATCTAGACATTGTGGTCAGCTTGCTCTGCCGTGGATTCGATCGATAAGTCTCTTCTCCCACCCTTTCCCTCTGTTTAACTGTTGATCGTTGACGTTCACATTGATTTTGCCTAGACGGGTGATTTTGGTATTCAAAGATTTGTCATTGTCCTGATTGAACCTTCACATGAATGTTTGTGCACACAGCTGAAGAGATAACGGGAAACAATTGAATTCAACCTGTTCTGTGATGATGCTTATTATCGTTCCAATGAAATTCCTTGAGGAAACTGGATGTATGAAAGTGCCATTGTCATTCATTATTGTTATCGCTCGCGCGCTGTTGAGTCCAGACTGTGTACCAAATAATTCGTGCTAAAATAATATTTATCAGATAGAACAAAGTCCATGATTTGCTAGTGGGTGGAGTATTGCTTAGTTACCGAGGCCTATACAGCTGAATTTTCTTTAGGGATTCATAAACGGAACTGGCCAAAGCCTAAACCACAGGGCAGCAGGATGGTGTCTAGCTCGTCAATTTATTCACT